TAACCCAAATTAAATTTGAGCCGATCCAATTATTACAATTGCATTTCATATTTCCAAATCACTTAAAATTTAAAGCGTTTATTTTTTAAAAATAAGTATATCTAATAAAAATATCAAAAAAATAATTATAAAAAAAATCTAATACCCTTGAAAATTTCAAGGCTATTTTGATCAATTTATTTTTTATGAATTATTTGTTTAATATTTTTGTTAGGTACGTCTTGATGAGAAGAGTAAACATCTCAACTTTCATGTGATTTAAATTTCTAAAAAAATGATTAAAATTCAAATACTACTGATTAGCACACATTCAATCTGGTCCATCGGAGAGAGAGCGAGTGAAGAATAAGGCCAAAAAAATAGATAAAAGCATGGATGTAAGCGTCTTACCCTGGTCTTTATAATTCTTGTAAAGCTTGGTTAATTGAGGGTAATTGAAACTCCCGAACCCACTGAATCAAAATTCACAAAGTATTTGGCAGAGATAAGAGCATACCATGATCATGCTAAATAAAACCCAAGAAATGGCGACAGATGAAAGAAAGAAAATAAAATGAAAAACTGAAAAAGTGGATTGCACAAAAAAAAAAAAAAATGAAGAAGATTAAATTGAGTTTTAATTCACAAAAACCGGGAAAAATTACTTCAAAAAATAATTATGGAAAGAATAAAGCAAAATAAATATAAATTAAGAAAAGAAAGAAAAAATTAATAAAGGGGATTAAATTGGGGTCTATGAAAAATTGTACCATTTTGAAGCAACATTTACAATAAGCAACACTTTGCCCTTATAATTACTCAAGTTTACATCTTTCCCGCTACAATCCTGCATTCATCACAAAAGAAAATGAGGAAAAAAAAAAGAAAAGATTATTAATACCCATGCAAGGAATTGAATTATTGAAAAGTGAAGCGAAATGGGAATCTAGAGAGAGAGAAAAAAATGCAAAATATATATAAAAAATAAAAAAGACATACCTTGACTGTGAATTCATGGATGCTTCCCTCAAAAAGGGGATTTGAGGATTGATTCCCCATGATGGTGATATTAGAAATGAGCACCAAAATATAAAAAATAGAAGAGAAAAAAAATAACAAAAAAGTATACGAATAAAAACAAGAAAAATTCCAAAGGAATGGGCTTGTCCTTTTCTTTCTTCCTTTCTATTTTCAGATTACAGGGTTGTGGTACACGTAAATTGGTACCAGAGCACTAAGACAACCTTACTTTTAAGTTGATCAAGTCACCCACCAGCTTTTAATTATTATGACAAATCCATCCTCATTTATTGAAAATGACAATTGAACCTGCCTAGATTCATTTTGTCTTGATACTTGCATTGAGTCACCTAAGACGATTTTGTCAATATGAAATTTTAGGGTTAGGGCCCGGACCTGAAAAATATGATATGCGGCCCTAACCTAGACCTGCACCCAAAAATGTGGCGTGGGACCTAAACACCTCAACCCTATCATACCCTAAAATTTAAATACCTATATAGGGAAAAGTTTATATTGAGCCTAGCCTCTACACAATCAAATTAGAACCTACTTCAAAATTTTCTCTAAAATAGGTTGTTTTGATGTTGAAATATCATCAAATTTATCATCTCGACATCAAGATGGACATGAGAAAAAAATAGATTTCAAGTTTTAAAAATAGTGCATCTTGTAACGTATTTTTGGATTTTCAGTTTTTAATATTTTCAAGCTTTCATAGATCTACTCGATCCACACTATTTTTTAAGTTTTAAATTTTTTAATTAAAATTTAAAATATGATATAAGATTATCACAAAACTTTCTACTATTGAAACTATATTTCTCAACATTATTTGAAAGTGGACTCTAATTTGATTGTTTAGAGCCTCGGCTCTATACAAACCACACCCTATATTTAAAGCCTAAGGATTATATAAAGCCTCAAACTTTATAACAGGGAGTAACTCAAAAACTTGCCATACGTTCACGGTTCACCTATTCAATTCATTTTTCTCAATTTCGGTGTTTTTGTCATTTCCATGGTTGTTTGGGGCCTTGGGATTTTGAATGATTTTCCCACCACTCATTTTTCACACGCGTTTTTACTCGTTTAAAAAGTTAAGTTAGTGGCCTATTTTCTAGGGGAATGAAAATGTGTATTTTCAATATGCAGGTTTAGGGTCGTTTTAGTTATGGGCCGTTGGATCAAGACTCCATCTCGGGATAAAATCACCCGTCGTCGGTTAAACCATTCATCAGGTCACCTTCACATTTGTCCCTAAATTTTCAAAAAAAAAATTATAAAAAACCCTTAAGACCACATTTTTTTTTACGTAACGTATGCAACCTAAGTTTTTCTCTCATTTTTTTTCAGTACGAACAAATTTCTATATAAATACCACCAAAGAAAAAAAGTTTCTTTTTAGACAAAAATACTTTTTTGTATACAAAACTCATTTTTATCAGATTTAACATCAACTTTTGGACCCAGTAGCATATTGTCGGAGGGGACGATGCTGACCTAAGATAACTATCCGATCAAAACTCAGTACTGTCGAACCGTCTCTTACATAGTATTAAAGTCGTGGAATTCAATAACATCTACTGTCGGGCCCACCTTTGCAACTGCCCGTACCGCTTTTTACCCGTGGAATTCGGTAACATCTACTGTCGGACGCACCTTTGCAACTGCCCGCACCGCTTTTTACCAGGGGTAACCGCATTTTACACAGTACCAGAGCCCTACTGCTTGATTGCACTTACATAGTACCGGATCCCTTATTTTGATGAGATAGAAGAGAGAAGCGTAGGTAAGATAAAAACAAAGCAAAGTAGTTTAGACATTATTATTACTTGGTTGAGGGTATTTATATAGAAAATATATTTTGAAAAAAAAAAATGAGAAACAAAATTAAATTAGGGTAAGTTGCATAGAATTAATAAACTTGAAGGGTTTTTTTTTTTTCTTTTTGGTAATTCTCCCATTCCCATATTTTTTCTTCAAAACAAATCCCGTACTTTTTCTCTGGCGCTTTTTCAGGTAACTCCATCTCTCTCTCTCCCTCGTCTCCTCTAAAACCGTAACCACTCTCTCTCGTCCTTTCTGTCTCCTACGCTCTTCCCTCCCGAAGCTGCGGCCACGTCTCCCTAATAAAACTACTATTCTTATTTCGGAAAAGTTTATATAGTGCCGAGGCTCTAAATAATTAAATTTGAGCTTATTTCAAAAATTTCATTAAAAGAGGTTATTTTGATGCTCAAATATCTTCAAATTGATCATCTCGACATGAAGATGTATGGATAAGAGGAAAAAAAAGATCGCAAGTTTTGGAAATAATGTATTTTGTAACGTATTTTTGGACCGTGAATTTTCAAGATTTTCAAGTTTCCATAGACACGTCGATCTACACTGTTTTTGAAGCTTTAAATATTATAAATAAATAAAAAATTATATTTTAAAGCTATTACAAAGATTTTCAATATTGAAACCATATTTCTCGACACTATTTGATGGTAGACTGTAATTTGATTGTTTAGAGGCTAGGGTCTATACAAACCTCACCCTTCCTATTTTACCCTGGGAACTTGGTGCTGAGAAAGGCAGGTTTGTTGCTGCTCTTTATGGGTATTGATATCGAGGGAGTTTTCTGAGTGACTCCACCTATATATATATATATATATATATATATATATATATATATACT